TATGTACCACATCTTTCTAATCCAGTCATCTACTTTTGGATAGTAGCTTTTTAAGTTGCTTTTGGTGCTCTTTAATTTGAAAGACATGTTGATTTCATTATTTTTCTTACACTTTTTCCTTAGGTATTTCAGTGAAAATTATACCAGTGAGGCCCATCAGATTCTTTCCCGTTCAAATCATCCTAAGTTAGGGTAAGTTGGATATACTAAAGAAACCATAAGCGCTCAAATTCAAGTTGGTTTGATGATCTACAGTTGAAAGTCTTCCAAAACATTTTTTTTAATGAGCTCATTTTACAAACCCATAGAACATATAGCATCAAGAATGAACCTTCGTAAGGTCAACTGTGAATTTGGGGTTGCTATGATATGTTAGTGCACGTTTCATTAACTGACAAACATGCACAGTGTTGGGGAGGTTGGCAAAGGGGGAAGCTGTGCATGTGTGGGGGTGCAGGGAATTTGGGTCTTCTGTTCTGTCTGCTCAGTTTTGCTGTGAACCGAAAATAAAAACCTAAAGTAAAAAAAAAAAAAATTTAAAGAACATAATAATATTTTAACAAACAAGAATGTTGTAAAGGATATTACACAATTCTTAAAACTGCATATGACCAATTTTTATACATTTCAATTTATTTTTATCATAAGCTATAGTTGATCTATAAAATGGAGACAAGGGAAAACCTTTATAAACCCTTTTTCCTTTCTTGAGAAACAGATTTGGGGAAAGGTATATATAGCTTTGATAGGGGAAAATGAAAATGAAAAATAACTTTGTATTGTGAAATGAAACACAAATTGAGGCAACATTATTAGCTTTATCATTATTTTTTCACTTTTCTATTCCCAGTGATACCTGATCTTTAAAAAAATATAACAGTATTACATATAAAAATAAATATCCTGATATTGGAGAAGAAAATGTCCGATTTTCTAGTGTATCTTTTAAAACCAATTTTCTTGTACAGACTTAGATATTGATGTAATCAGAGATTTCTTTTTATTTCTTAGATTAAATCCAGAAAATCAACCATCTTTTAAAAACAGTTTAAGAGTGCATTTGATTTGTTTTTCCCCAATAGTAGAGGTTTTCATAAAATCAGTACTGTTAGAAAAAAATCAAAGTAGTTCCAATTCAGGCTAATCAAATGACTCGCTTGCCTAACTGTACATTTATTCTGTGAGCTCTCTGGTGGGCCGGTATAACAGGTCATGTTTCTGACCTAGGTATTCTTATGCAATAGTTGGAATCAACCTCACAGAAATGGCCTACAGCCTGCTGAAGAGTGAAGCGCTCAAGTCTCACCTCTACAACTTCGTTCCTGGAGCGCCAACGCTGGAGCACTTCCACCAGTTTTACTGTGAGTGCTCGAGTGAGGCAGCCCGAGATGGCTCAAGAGTGCTCGTAAGCCACTAGGAAAGTCGACTCTATGATGTGACAGCTCTAGCTGGCATGTAACTTCTGTGTGCATTTTGTTATCAGGGTCCTTGGCAGTCATGGAAGATGGGCCCCTGAGAGAACTTAATGCTCTCGTTTCTGGTTTAAAAAATGTAGGGAGGCCACTTCTTGACATGTGTGAGTGGAAGATTCCTGCCGCTCTTCTGTAGACTTCCATTTTCCAGTCTGCTGAAAATTTCACTTTGAATCCTGGTTCAAGAATGCCAAGTCAAGGAAATTTTGAAGACTTTCTTGTTATTCTTGTCAGGACAGACTTGGGGCTGGGCCTTCTGGCACTAGGCGGAGGGCACCCGTGACATTTGCCAAAGCAGGCAGTGTGACGCTGCTCCGGTCCCCTTTGCTGCCACTGCTTGTGAACCTGAAGTTTGATCAAGGGAAGCCCTCTCCCGAGGGTGCTGCCGACTCACACCATGCAGCCACCTGAGGCTTCTCATTCTCCTTGAGCTTCTTGTGTCTTTGGCATTTGCACACTGGTGGGGACAGGAGACTAGTGAGACCACAAAGGGCCAGTCCCCCGCTGTAGCCCCCCAGGGAAGGTGTCCGGGTCTCGCTCGGCTGGGGCCCCTGGCACGCAGGTAGCTGCTGCTCAGCCTCTCTGGCTTTGCTGTGCCTTTCTGTCCCCACCGCACACCTGCAGCCTAGTGACTGGCTTCCCAGTACAGCCTCTTAGCTATCTCTGCCATGACGATAATGGTAAACAACAATAGTCAGCTGTTTTAGAGTTTTTATTCTTTTTTATTTTAATGACAGTGTTGGCAACACATTGACAAAAGTCAGAATAATGCTGGCTTTCAGCAATCAAGCAACAACAGCCTTCCTGTACTTTGTTCATTATAGACTCTTGTTGTTTTCAGTTTTGTGTTTCAGGGGTCTTTGGAAATAACTTTTTTCCTATTCCCGAAATATGTTTTGAAAGTTTTTACCACTTTGTAGGGATTTTGTTGATTTTTGAGTTTCATCGGAAGTGTACACTAAATCTTTTATTGAGTTGCTATTTAATTTGATACAAAAATAGTTCTTAATTTTTTTTCAGGTTTTTATTAGCTTAAGGTGATTTCTGACCTTTTATACTAATTGTCTACATGGTTTTACCTTTTTGAAATGAGGTGGTATGGATGTGATTTTACTCTTGTGATTATATTTATATTATATTTTTCTCCCACTGCAGGTTATCTTGTCTATGAGTTTGACAAGTTTTGGTTTGAAGAAAAGCCAGAAAGCATTATGTATTTCAACATATATCGAGAGAAGTTCCATGAAAAAATTAAAGGACTCTTACTGGATTATAATGTATCACTTACTTTAAAGACATGAATCATCCAGAGTATCTTCTATTTCTACCACATTTTGCACACACAACAGAATTTATATGTTGTAATAGAAATTATCTGATCAACTACATTCCTTATGTATAATTTCCTACAAAAATATTTCAGAAATTCTATTGAAGAAAGCTAGTGGACAATCAGTGTGTGTTTACACGTGTTTATACACTGTCCTCCACAGAACCTTGTCCTTCCAAAGAGCCCTCTGTAGAGTCACAGGAACTGCAGATTGGAACTTGGGACTTAGCCCAGGTCATGTAAAAGTGGAAAATCAGGTATTTGTCTTCAATCAGTTTATTGAAATGTGTAAAAATCAGTTTTCATTTCTATGTGTTATGGCTAGCAGGCTGGTGGTATCTTTTCAGTTCTTTAAAGAGTTTTTGTTTGTAAGTTCTGGTTTTGTCTTTTCTTTGTGTCACTTTACTGCTCAGCTAATTGACAGGAAGGATAGTTCTTCCTGCTTTTCTTTGCTTGCACCTCAGTCCCATGTGGCTGTGGCTCCCTGAGACTGGATCTTAGGTAGATACCAGGGCGGACGAAGAACCGGGACTCCTTCTCAGCTTCTCTGACTATTTAGCACAACAGGTAACAAGAGAGTGGCAGAATAGTGACAGCTTTTGGTTTTTCAGCACCACACGTTAACGTCAAATGTTATTTTAGAGCTTGAAGACAGTTTTCATCTTCAGTAGTTAGTTATTTCTCTCAGCTGTGTAAAAGACCTTTACTGTGTTCTGAGGGCCTTTTATGAGGCTCCTCTCTGCCTGGGTATATTTGTGAAATGAGATAGAGTTACTAAGAAAATCTTGCTTGTCGGCAAAGGACATTTGCTCTTTCAATTCTGTTTTGAACTTAAACAAGAAGCATAAAGCTTTTTGAAAATCTGAGTTAAACACCGTTGGTTTATTTAACTTACTGTTGTGTTTGCTGCTCTTGCTTGGATCAGGTGCTGGTTCTAGGTTCTGGGGACGGATGGGCTTTATGGTATTTTTTGAGTTAACAGTCTGCGGGATTCTAAAGTAGCTGGTGTTGAGGACTGCACATGTCGTGTCATGTAGTTCTATTCTGAGACCTCAGGAGGACAGCAGGTGCCGTCACGGTGATGAGACTCCGCACATTGTGCGGTGATGAGACTCAACGGCTCCTCCTTTGTGTGTCTTAGACACAGGTACTTTGAGCAAAGCTAAGAGTTTAAAGATTGGGTCATCTGATTATTAAGTTTGCCTTGATCCTACAGAGACCGACCTGTCACGGACATGATTTGATCTGAAACTCAGTATTTCGCTCATCTTCTAGTATGTGAACATCAAGTATGTCTACTGGCTCTTCCGTGATGTCGGACCTGAGACTTTCAAGTATTTGTTCATATCGATTGACAAACCTCTTCAAACTTGCCAAAGAGAAGAGTAGAGAAGAATATCCAGTTGGAAAGTAACACACCCATGTTGTACGGCACATACATTTGGTGTATCATTACAGTTATTACTTTCTCAACAAGATAAACCTTTTTTAAATTGGATTTTTTTTTTCATTATAATCATGGTGGTTCAACTTTCAATATGATAAGAATTTAAAAATTGGTCTCTTCTAGGGAACTTCTCAAGCTTGGGGGTATCTTAAGTTGTTCTTTTAAATGCTTTGTCATTTAAAATTTTTAATGCTTTGTCATCATTCTGCTGGAGTTCTGTGAAATGTAGCAGAACCCTGAGGAGTGGGTGTTAGCCAAGAAGATCATGTCATCTCGTTTTCACCCTCACATGGAAAGTGGTTCTATTCATCTTTTCATTTTCATGCTGAAAATACTTACCTTTGTGTTTTAACCTTGAGATCTTAAATTGATGTAAACTTTAGTATACTTAATAAGGGAAGAATTCAAATAAGGGGGAAATACTCTGAATTTGTCCCTTTAAGGAGAAAAAAATCTTTTTAGTGATGTTAAAAAATGTCATTAGGAAGTTTGCTCAATTATATATTGTTTGACTCAACTCCTGTTTGAACAATACATTATTCTGATTTTGCACCAAATATTCAGTAACCATTTTGTGTAATCTAGGAGCGCTAGGATCTGGAGGATCTGGAAGTCACGGGAGAGACTTTCAGAGAGTCTGGAAGCCAAGCTCACTGTCACCAACTGTAAACCTGCAACTTTCATGTGCTGGTGACATGTCAGAAAAGAAACGTAACTGCGTCTGACTTCCTGTCTCCCCTCGCTTCAGTGTATATGTCAGAACTTGATGTAGTCTTTAAAATCTACATTTAAAGTCTTATGTGTCTGTAGTAATTAATAAAATACCAAAGTAGTGATAGAATTGAAGTAGCAGGAAATTGTTTTACCTCAAAAAAGGGAATCATTCATTGTTTGAATTTTTGAATACGCCAGACTGGAGAGAGTATACCCTTGACAAGAATAGTCCAAAAGACAATCCTTAAAAAATTGGGGGAAATCTGGGACTCTCAGCCAACCCAGACCAACCTCTGTGTATAAATACGGTGATATAGTCAGCTAGAAAGAGTAAAATCTAATGGTATCTTACTGGCACCGTTCACGGTTTAGAAAACAATCTTTTTCTTGAAAATGTTTATCCTGATTTCCCCCTGCTTTTACAGATACTTGGATTTCTATGTATTTTCCTGTATGCGAATGCATTCTCTTCATTTTTAGCCCAGCATTCATGATTGCTTATGAGCTGTTTCTCTTCTTTGCATTGAATGAAATAGAACTTGGTCAAAGGTTTGCTCAAAGGAGAAGCCTTACATGAGGGTGAGGGGGTGCCCTTTGCCTTTGCTAGAGCAGGGAAGCGTGCCCCTTAACAGTGGTGTGGGAGGAAGAGGTGTGGCTTGGAGAAAAGTGGTTTACTGTCCTCCTGGACTTAGTGACTGGGGACCAGAAGCTGTTTTCTCAGGAGAAACGTTTTACCTACATTCTCACTAACAAGTCTGGGGAGGCTTCATTTCCATTTTCTTATTATGAATCTCTACACAAATAATTTTTAACAAAGATCAATGAAATTGTTAAAAGTCTAGGAGAAATCACAAGGGAGCTGTCCCCTGCTTCAGTAGTGCAGGAGAGAGGCAATGTCGATATCACTCTTCCCAGGACGACCCTGTGTCTGTCCAGTAAGGTATTCAAATCAGTTGAAGCAATAGATTATTTTTGGGGGGATGAGAGTAGGGAAAGCCCAGGTTGGCAATGTAAAGAAATAGATTTCTGTCTACTTTGGATCTAGCAATTGAGGTCTTATGTAAAATAAACTGTTGAAATGTGCTATCATTTTGTTCAGAATGTTGTGAGCAAATAAAATCCATGTTGAAATTGCCATATGCTTTCTGTTAATACTTTCTCAATTTAATCCTAATTTAAGCTGGTATGTCATGAAACCATGTTTTCTTTTGTAACTTTTAAATCATGTTACTATAAATCGAAATATGGTTTCCCCCCACTTTTTAACTCCTTTACTGATTACCTGTTTAAGATGCTATTCAATAATTGGTTCTGAGAACAAAAAAAGAAGCTACTACCTCACTCCTTACAGGGATAGGAGTAATTCATACCGCACTATAATTTTTCCGTGAATTTTGCAGTAGGTCATAGATTCACTTTTGTATAATCCCCATATCAAGCAGAACAGCCCTGTGTATCAGGAATTTGGTCGCTTTGAGATCTGTCAAGGGAGCTGATACTTACACACCAACTCCCAGCAGTCTTTGGCAAGCGCTGCCCCAAGGGTGAGCTGTTTCCTTGCTCTGCTAGTGTGCTGTGCACGGCTGGGCAAAGAGGCTCTGGAGGCCAGAAGGAACCCTAAAAGCTACAGACGAGACAGAGGCAGTCAGGCCAGGGTGCCCTGAGGTGCATGCAGGATCCCACAAGCCCCAGCTGCCTCACAGGTGACAGGGAAATAAACCTGAAGGGACCTCATAAAATCTAAGGGGAAAAAACAGCAGCAAGTGGAGCGTGGAGCCGATGACACAGAATTGCACCACATCTGACAGCTGTCAGGGCAACTTTGCAGGCCCAAGATGGAGTTGCTCCAACCCAGCATGCCAAGTCAGCAAACAGACTTAGCTAACCGGCTTGGCCCCCAGTAGCTCCACGTGACCAGAAACTCAGAACCTTCAGTCACTCGAAAGACCAAGGGCCTCACCCCCAAATGTTGACTCTGGCTCCAGCCAGTTATTTTCTGTCTCTTCTTTGTTCTTCACAAAGGCTTCCTTCCTCCTGCCCCATTTCCTGTTGTCCAAAAGGAGACTGTCAACTTCATACATGTTAAAGTGTGAAGCTTCGTCTTCCTTTCAGCAGGAGTCTCCTCTGGCTATCTGAAGGACGGTTAGCTCAAACATCTGTAATTCTCAGAGAATGCATGATTCCTGGATGAATAATGTCTCGAATATGGCATGTCGGGTTTGAAGTTGCTATTGTCATAAAATAGACTGAACTTTTAAAATTTGTACTAGGAACATTTAAACTTATTGTGCCCATTGATTCTAAAGCCCCCCAGTCTCTTCAGGGCAATCAACGCTTCCCTTCCGAGAGAGGAGCTGCAAGACTGACGTAGTGGTATTAGCAATGCTTTATTGGCTGTAGTAACTGACAGCTGGGTTAAAAAAGAAAACATAGTATCTTCACTTTTATGTTCATAAAAATGCATTTCACCCACTTTTCCATCACTTTGAATTATACTGAAAACACATTAAAGTTCTTCATATTCTATCATCAGATTCCATCCCCCTCTCCCCCCATTGGTCCATCAAACACAGCAACTTATCTGGACCCTACTTGCTGGGTACATACCAAGTGTTTTGCTTTCCTCTCCCTCAAACAAGGAGCATAAAAGAAATAGGTATTATTTTTTCTTAAAAAAAAAAAATCCCCAGACTCTCTTCTTATGAACTTATTTATCTTTTTAGGGTGAAATAAGTGGACAGCATTTTCAGCATCAGTGTGGAGGCACAAAGCCCTGCTGTTGCGTGGTTATGTGGCACAGTCCACTGTCTGCCTGGACTTCATCAGCTCCCGTTTCAGCTGCTCAAAGCACACGAACATGATGACAGTCCAAGAGCCCAGCCGCAAGAAGGAAGGCACGAACCTAGAAAAACACGTGGACAGCGGGTTACTCCACTTTGGCTGCGGGAATTCTTACAGCTGCCTAGCACAGGCCGGTCTCCCGCCGGCCGGCTCCAGGGACCGCGGTGAGCACGGCGCTCGGCCTCCCTCAGTGCGGCCTGGAGCACCCACCCGGCGCACCGCCCCCGTGACCACAGGGCCAGCACACCCTTCCCTGCTCCTGGCGAGCCCTGGCCTGGTCTTTGTGCGTCACATCAGGTTTGGGGGGGCGGGGGGAGCGAGTTTCTGTTTCTATCAGCTTTCTGACTGGGAGGTAGGGATGGAAGGGGAAGTGAAAGCGAAAGCACAGGGCACCAGGTGAGGGGCCAGTGAGTCCGTGTAGAGCTGGGCGTGTCTGTCCTTTCTCTGTCCAGGAGCTAAGTGTGCTGTTTTTCTGTTTTTCTTCTTTGGGGTGGGGCTTGTTTAGGGGATCCACCAAGCTGCAGAACCAGGCTTTAATTCTGAACACATCTTTGCAGCAATGAAATACTGTAGGAGGAGATTTCATCCCTTCAATCTGGCGATCTGGCTACAAAATTATCTTTCAACAACAGGCACGTCAAAAGAGGCTTTTAAAAAAGGACGCTGTGTTCTATTACCTTAGTTTCATGCTGTTGCCTATAATCATAAATCAGCTGACGGTTAGGCAGGTATTTTCCAGGATAAGGCTGCTTTAGGGGAAAGTGACCTAGTACACAATATGGGTGTCCCCGTGAGGGCAGCTATTCCCCAAACATCCTTTTCAGCATCACTTTTCTGGGTCAGGGGCAATGACTTCTCTCTACTTTTGTTTTCAGATAACCGGAGCTGAGCAAATTAAAACAGAGGAAACCAAACCTTGTTTTGGTCCAGCTCTCAATCCCTCCCTCCCTCTCTTTTCATAGTTTTCCCTCCACATAGGCAAGTGGTCCTGTATTCCCAACAAACTAGGGTCAAGGTCATGGGTTTCCAGTGAACCTGTCTGCTCGCGGTCGAGAGAATACCCCCAGTAATTTTCTGGCACAGTGGCATTAGTGGGTTGGAGAAATGTCTGGCCAAGAAGGCGGACCTTCTCGCCACACTCTCCAAGGCTGGCCGGCTGGGGCCAGACGTCAGCAGGGCTGCGCCCCCAGTTCCCCCCCCGGCCCCGGGCGCTCAAAACCGCAGAGCGGGAGTCAGGCCGTACCCTTTGAAGAAAGCCGACAGCCCCTCTTTGTGGAGCATGGCCAGCGCGCAGCTGTGCACGTGCGCGTACTGTCCCGGGGGAGAGTTGATGAACCTTGTCTTCACCACGTCCACAGGAGAAGCCAGCGCCGTGGTGCAAAACCCGGCGACGAGCGCTGACACCATGTGGCAAGGCACGTCATCTAAAAGGCGGCAGAGAGACAGGTCAGCCTCAGGCATGGACAGGGCCGCTCGTTCCCGGGCCTCGCGGACTGGTGGGTCTGTGGGTGGGAGGAGGGCTACGCGCGTGTCTTAAAGAGAGACAAGGCATAGCGAGGAAGGCTGGGCTTAGGCTGGGAAAGGCGGCCCAGCGCCGTTACCTGCTAGCACCTTGCTCTTCACAAGGTGAAGAACATCATGCTGCGGCATCATGGATTGTAAGTGCCAAGAAAACCGCCTGTGCTTTTTCTTTGTGGCCTTAGGGTGCAACATCAAGCCAGATATTTGGGATCTAACAGGGAGAAGTTCCATGTCTCTAGAATCTCTGCGAATGTGATTTGGAGGGACCTCTGGTATACCTCGGATCACCAGCTCCCTGGCTACAGCTGGGGGATGCCCCGCCTGCTGCATTCTATCCACGAGATTCTATTTACAGGATGCTAACGGAGGCCTGTAACTGGTTTCACCTGTGAACAGCACTGACCTCATCCAGTTGCACTTTGTTCTATTGCCAAAAAAAAAAAAAAAACTGTTGCAGCAAAACTTAGGATTTGGGTCATTTTCTACTTCCTAAAAATGATACCTAATATTCAGAATGCCTTAACAAGGGAAAATAGAATTAAGGGCTTCAGTAAGACTGGGCTGGAGACGCTCCAAGGTGAAATTGTAGCTGTGACCAGAGCTGGCGGGGACAGTGCAGCGCCGTTACCTGCCAGCACGTCGTTCTTCACAAGGGCCTCCTTCATCGTGTCATACATCACCAGCTCTGTGCAGTTGATGATCACATTTCTTGTCAGGTTGAGACTGGTCCCTGGGAAACAAGACAGTGTCACCAGCTCCGCTGGTGACAAGGTGCCAGTTGGCGGTACCTGCGGGACTCCCCCTGGCCTCGGCTACCTTTCCAGAGCCCCAGGAAGCCTTCCGTCGTGGCCACGACTCTGTAGACGTTATAGGTGCCGGTGTAGCGGGGCTTGAGGCCGTGCAGGTGGCTCTGGGCCTGCATCCTGACCTTCGCCACCTCCGTGGGCTGCCCGATGAACACAGCCACACCGCCTGTTGTCAGCCCCGCTGAGATCTTGCTTCCCAGGCTGGGGGGGCCTACCCGGAGAGAGAGACTGTCAGTAGCAACAACAACAAATTCCGGGGAGGCACCATCGTCCTGGAGCTCGGCCCCTGCCCCCCTGGGCAACAAGGCTGGTTGGGCCTACGGGCTCGGGGGGACCCGGGCAGGGGCTCAAGTGGTTTCAGACTAGCCCAGGCTATGAGGGGGACAAGGGCAAGAAGAAAGAAGCCAAAAGGGGTTTTCACTTGAAATTTGGAAAACTTTGCTTATGTTCTCAAAACGATACCACTTAATAAAAGTCTGCAGGGCCCTCCCTGGTGGCGCCGTGGGCTGGACGCCGAGACAAGCTGTGGCCGCGTCAGGGCGAGTTTGGTCCCCGGTCGGGGAGGTGACCTTCATGGCACAGCCGACCTCTACTGTCTCCCCACTGCTCCCTCAGTCTCTACAGCTTGGGCAGTGAAGTTACATCACCCCGAGTTACCCAGCCCAGGGGTAGAGAGCTGGCATGGGTGGGCCACGGTGGGCGTCTGCTAACTGGGGGCCGTGGCGTCGGCCCTTTCTGATAGACTCAGCTCCTCCAGCGGAGAGTGGGGAACATGTGGCCCTGCGCAGATGGCTGTAAGGACTGAATGATGCCCAGAACCACAGGCAGGTAAGTGGCGGCAGGTAGGCGAGCGCAGTGGCGAGAGCCAGGTGGCCAGAGCCAGGGTCTGAACCTTCACTGTCCTCTTCCAGCTGTGTGACCTCAGCTGGTTATAAAACTGCTCTGTGCTGCACTGCGGCCATTTGCCAAAAGATGAAAATGACAGGACCGCACCGGTGGGGTGACCTGAGCCACAGAAAGGCTGAGAGGAAGCACTCAGAGCCGTGTGAACTACGGGCTGGACCTTGGCACACACGACAGCCAAGAGAGGTCAGCTTCCCCTCCCTCTTCCTCTAACACAACTCAGGACTTAAGTCCACTTTTCCTTCTCTGGCCTTGCCCAGCCCCGAGACTTCGCCAGAATCCATTAAAGGAAACATGACTTTTCCTTTCCTTCTCCTCAAACTTCTGACTTTGTGCTCTTTAAACCAAATGTTCTCAAATCAGTCGCACACAGAAATTCCCAGGAGGCTTGTGAAGACTCAGTGCCCAGGCCAGAGCCGCGCGAGGCAGATTCAGGGCACACGCAGTGCCCGGTGGGTGGGTGCCGAGCAAACGCCAGGGGTGTCCCCCACCGAGCTCATGCCCTGGACTCTGACTAGACCTCGCTTTGCGGTTTCGTCTTCTCCAGATGGGTCTCAAGGCCCCAGATTTCCAAGACTGGCTGGGTGGTTTTTACAGATAGAAACCCATGAAGAGCAAGCCAGCACCGACTGAACTGGGGGCTGGGGGGTCCCGAGCACAGAGGTGGCAGGCAGCCACCAGCCTCCTGACCGTGCCTGGACGGAGCGGCTGGCCGCGTGGGCGCAGGGGCAGCACCTACCGTCCGTTCCCGAGCTGAAGAACTCCTGCACAGAGTCATAGAGGCCAATCCTCAGAGAGGCAAAGCTGATCTGCCTCTGGATGCCGGCGGGCAGCCCGCTGTACAGCTTCATGGGCCCTTCCGTCTTGATCAGGGTGGTGATGGTGCCCAGGACGCCTTTATACCTGATGCCGCTGGAGACCGGGGTCTCGCCTTGAATCTGGAAACGGGAAGAAACGGGAGAGAGAAGTGAGGACCAAGTAGGGATCACCGGGGGGCCCTCTGCGCTCTCTGGAGAAAGCTTCAGGTAAGATTTGTCCCGCTCCTTCTCTCCACACCCATGATATATCCACCTGCCTACTGCCGATATGTTTGGATAGTGATATTTGTAACCTGTCCCACAATGTTATGCTGCTACTCAGCATCTCTCTAAACACCTACCTATACAGGCAACACCTGCGTCTGTGGGTATGTGTCTGTGTCTACTCAATGTCAGTATCAGCTACCTGTATCTGGAACCCCAACCAACCCCCCAAAACAAAAGCAAGAAAAAAAAACCCAAGGGAAAACTAAAAGCCCTTTGCAAAACCCCAGCCCCTCTCCACCCCATAATGCTGGAGAACCCCTAAGGCAGTAGGATGGGAAGGTGTTGCTATCTGACAAGAAGGGAGAAAGCACCTGCTTGCAAACTGGAGAGACTCCCACAGCCTTAGCTCTTCAACATTCTGTGCACCCTCACATTTGGGGGGTCTGGCAGTAGTCACTGTCAAGCCATTCTCTTTGACCCCTGTGGCCCTTCAGTTTCTCTCCTGCCTTCCCCAAGCCTTTTCTTGGCCCTTTCCCCTACATCAGCCCAGAGACCAGCCAGACCCGAGGTGGCCAGCAGCCCCTGGGATGGGTGGTTAGACCAGAGCCAGGAAGGAAGTCTAAGGGGCTCTCAGAGCAGGGGCCCCGCTCCCCATCTCACCTACCTGGAGCCGGACTTTGGCCGTGTCCAGCGGGAAAGTGATCACATCCGCTGTGCAGGCAGCTAGCCCTGCAGAGAAGATCTTGACCGGCATGGTGGGGGCGGGCTGGTCCGAGGCAGTGGAGGAGGCGACCATCTTCACTCAGCACAAACCACCGCTGCACAAGGTGAACGCCTCCCTCCCTGCCTCTTGGCTGAAGTTCCTCCCCGGGTAGCCTAATTTCAGGGAGGGGTCCTCTGCAGAGCTGCAGGCTGGTGGCCTGAGGGAAGCTGGCTGCCACGGAGAGTGCAGGCGGGTCAGTGTCCTGCACCTCGTGGTGCCGTGGTGCCCAGATGCCCTGCTCCCAGCCCCAGCTGGTCACTTATATTGCCGCAGGGGGGGCGGGGCTGGTCTGAGGTGGGTCCCTCCCACCTGCATCTGAGCAGTGCATCCCAGAGCTGAGCCGCCCTGCACTCCCCAGAGCCTGAGGGTGCAGCTAGTGGTCTCCAGGCTGATTTCCAGGTGGAGGGGGGCAGCCCTTGCCACCTTCGCATTCACTGGAATCCCTGAAACAAGCGAGTTCTCCACGATCCTGGTCAAAAGCCCTGCCTGGCTGGAGCTCTCCGAGGGGAAACCGGGGTGCTCCCCAGTCTGCCTCTGAGGGAACCCTGCAGCCTCTGACTCCCCTTTGCTCTCCTTTAACTTCTCCTGTCTCCTTTCCAACCAAGCCCAGATGGAAAATCCCAGGCAGGAACCAAGAACTCTCCGAACTTTTAGAAGAAATGAAGTGTTTCCTTAGAACGCTGTGTGCGAGGGAGCTGTCAAATGAGCTAGCAGTCATACAACAGGTCCCCAAGGCAGCGTCACTCCTCAGCACGGAGGCCCTGCTTTCCCCACGGCAGCGTGAAGTCTCAGTGTCCAAAGACCCAGAGGTGAGCCGAGTGCGGACTGACTGTCCTAGGAGGCAGGCAGGGCTGGAGCTACCCCAGGGGAGGGCTCACTGGCCCCCTTGAGCCCTTTCTCAGGGCGCACAGTGGAGGGACCTGCAGGCTTGGGCCCCAGGACCCTTGACCACCTCTTCTGGGGCTGGGGCTGTCCTCTTACCCGGTCTCTGCCTCCATCGGGATCCCAGTCTGGCACCTCACCTGCAGGGATAAACCCCACAGGGTGTCAGGGTTTGCTCCCAGAGGAGCGTCTGTCCTGGTTCAAGGTGGGTTTCAAGTATTCATCTTGTTCTTTCTGGGCCTTAAAAATCCCTCCGTATTCGGGAGGGAAGTCACAGGAAACAGGAGAAAGAAAGAAGGTTCCTCTCAGAGAAGCCAGGGGCCTTTGGGGCGGCAGCCTGACCCATGTCAGAGGGCCCACGGAGTGAGAGGGGAGCCCCAAGAGAAGAATCTCCAAATCCTTGGCAAGAAAAGGCTGTGTAGAGAAGAAACCCCAGAAGGTCAAAACCACAGAAAAAACTGCTGGGCTAGACACTCGCATCTTCGGAGAGCAGCTCTGGTGGGGTGACTGGGCTGTGGGGGGCGGGGTGGGGGTGCTGGCCTCTGAGCCCGAGTCAAGGATGTGCTGTGGATTTGCTACGTGGGGAGGAGTGGACACGAGCTCTTCGCGCTCCCATGAACTTTCCCTGTGAACTGACCCCCTACCCCACCCCACCCCTGGGCGCTGGAGGGGCTCCTGGTGGACACTGGCAACCACCCCCCCAATCCCCAGCAGGGTGTAGACACAGGAGTAGCTACCCTGGGCTCTTCAGGGAATCCTGTTCACCAGTGAGTACCATCAGTAATTCCGGATGAGGAAGTTAGAAAGAGGTACAGGTTGTCATTCAGGAGCAGGGTGCCTCAAGCCCCAAGCCAGGCTCCCGTGTGGCACCCATGTAGCAACCTGACTGAGAAACAGTCAGCTGGAGCCAGGGTGCCCCCAACCCAACCACAGATGAAATGTTCGGAAGGTCAACACAGTCACACAGTGCTGAAGCCAACACAGTCACACAGTGCTGAAGCCGCGAGGGCTACCGAGGAAGGCGGGCCAAGGAGCCGGGAGACTCGGTAACTTCGGAGACCCCACGCACCCCCTCCAGTCAGCCAGAGACACTCAATGGCCGGACCCAACTCCCGCCCACTATACACCTGCTCCTTGCCTCTCGGTGTCTGCTCGAGACTCCTCTGAGCTCAGAGAGCTTTCCTGTCCTTCCTCTTATTATCAATAAATCTCTTGCTTTGCTCCCTAACTGGTGTGATGCTGAATTCTCTCCATGCAAGATAAGAACTGAGAGACCCCGGGGCAGACCAGAGTCATTTCCATCCACATGGGGGCATCGTCACCATCCAGCATCCCTCCCCAGTCTGTGACCTGTAAATTGTGCGGTACAAGGGAAGGCAGCTGTTCTAGGCTGGCCATGGGCACCTGGGCCCGGCTGTCTGTCTCTCGGCCCCTTTCTCCAAGGGCAAAGTGCACGCACGTGAGGAATGGGTGCAGTGGCAGGGGTGGAATTTTGGGCTTTGGACTAGAAAAGGTAACCACAGTAGCTCTTTGAAGGAACAGCAGGATGGCTAAAGGCAGACTAGGACCAATGGGCAGAGGGCCGGGGTGGGGGGTGGCGAGGAAAACGTCTGGAAAGGAAGGAAATAAGGGACCGATCTGTCAGCAGACGGAAGGGCTGAGTCCAAGCACTTGCCCCGGTGGGGAGAAGATGCCTGCAGAGGCGAGGCTGAGCCCGCCGACCTGCAGGAAGAGGGTCCTGAGGGGAGGCCATCTGCGCCAGAGGACACCGCTCCTGAGAGAGTAGGGTTTGGCACAGTGCGGACCGAGCCCCGGATGCTCTCGAGGCCCCCGCTGAGCATCGAGGAAGAAAGAGAGCTCAACCCCCTTGTTGGGGAGACTAGGAGGTCACAGGAGACTAGGAGGTCACAGGAGACTAGGAGGTCACAGGAGACTAGGAGGTCACAGGAGTTCAAGCTTCCGAGCGTGACTCTGGATTCCTAGGAGCAGGTTACCTCACCCTTCAGAGGGGCTGGGAAGTAGGGGAAAGTTTGCCTCAGGTTGGAGAGAGCAGTAGGGGAGAGGGTGGCTTCCCCAGAGACCCGCTTTCTGCCCTTCTGGCACAAAGAAGAAGCGAAGAGGCAAAGAACAGGTCACTGCGAGCAAGGGCGACCTGCTGGGTCGCAGGCGGAGCCTCTGAGCGCCCCAAGCCTGCTCCCCGCTGCGGAAACCCAGCATGCTGCAGCCCCTCGCCCGCCGCAGGCCCCTGGGCACAGTCCCCCTGTGGGCTGTGTTTGAGAGCCTGTGCTCCCCCCCACCAGCCTCCGGAGGAGTCACCCCGAGTTAGACACCGTGTGCGGACGGCAGATAGCAAAGAAGGAAGGTTATGAGATAAGGGACAGCAAAAGGCTTAGAACCTTTTCTATGCTTCTAGGACTTCAGATATTTTAGAGTAGATGCTATTTGTTCAGCTTTATGATGTATAAGTGATAAATAAACGTCTAGGTATGTAATTAAACTTCTAAGCTAAGTAAAAACAGAAGGCAAACATCATAAAATCAGGACACATAGTTGCGATCACTAACAATTCTCTCTTTCACCTGTTAAATTACCATGCGGTCCCGACCCGCTTCATAATTATTTCTTTTTTATTATTATTATTTTTATTTATTCATATAGAACTGGGGTACAGGCCAGAGATGCGGAGGGTGAGAGGATTCACCAGAGACAGAGCGGGGAGCAGAACAGGCAGATGGACGAAGTCCACTGCTGAGGGGAGCAGCGGGCGGGTCAGGAGAGGTCTGCCGCGCCATGTGGTCACCTCCGGGGCAGGCGGGGATCGAACTCATGTGGAAGTGGCTTTCGCTTCTCAGTGCTGCGCTTTAACCCGCTGCGCCACCAGGGAGGGCCCCGCTTCATAATTATTTCAATGGGAACATATACATTACGAATGTAGCACTGTAAATGTAAATAGTTTATGAATGCCGAAATTACAAACTGTGGCTGTTGAGCACCAGTCATCTTAATGGCATTGCTGTATCTGTGGTGGTGGTGGTACAAATTTGCACACTTCTTTTGGAAAGTGAACTGTCTGCGTTGAGCCTGATGACACTTCTGCATATGGTCCCTAAGACAATGAGCCAAAACATGAAGAAAATCCCATGTGGAATGCGCTTACATGGTCTAGTGTGTGTGACAGCAGCTTGGCGGCCGTGTCACCTTGACCAAGATCAGGTGCGCACATCTGGGCCGGCCTGAGCCCTGGGTGAGACCAGCGGCCCAGAGGTGTCACCTGGAATGGATTCAAAAAGTCATAAAGCAGGCCCTCCGTGGTGGCGCAGCGGGTTACAGCACAGCACTGAGAAGCTAAAGCCGCTTCCGCATGAGTTCGACTCCCGCCTGCCCCGGAGGTGACAGGTGGCGCGGCAGACCTCTCCTGACCCGCCCGCTGCTCCCCTCAGCAGTGGACTTCGTCGATCTGCCTGTTCTGCTCCCCGCTCTGTCTCTGGTGAAGTCTCTCACCCTCCACATCTCTGGCCTGTACCCCAGTTCTGTATGCACAAATAAACAAATCTTTAAAAAAAAAAGTCATAAAGCAAAGTCTTGGCCGAGGGTCCAGAGGGAAAGAGCAGGCAGAGGAGAGGAGTGGGGTTCCCGGTGTAGCCCAGCCACCAAGCTCCGTGTTAGGGAGAAACTGTCCATGTCTACTAGGTTGCTGGCCATGCAGTACTGACCCCTGTTTAAACTCTGTCCGAGCTGATGAGCCGGTTGAGTGTGGATGAGTATCCCCTCAGCTCAGACGCCTCACTTAATGAGCACGCTCTGTCCGCGTGACCCTCACTAAACAGACCACCTCCTCCCTCCCTGTGCCACGCCCGGGGGACCTGTTCCCCACCACATAGGGCAGGTCTATCAGCTCCAGCAGTTCACAAACATGTAGAAGTGCCAGACACTTCTAAGCAGTTTAGGAAATTGAGCACTCTGGAGAGTAAACTATGGTCGTCTCACTGTGTGTATCAGAGGCTCAGAGGTTCAGAGGAGGTAAGCAACTGCGCCTAGGTCACACAGCCACTGAGTGGAACATTTAGGATACTACACTCGGCCCTCACACTCTCAGTCTCCACATGATACGGCAGTGCCTTTCCATTGTACTTATTCACATTCATTTTGTA